TCTCTCTCTCTCTCTCTCTCTCTCTCTCTCTCTCTCTCTCTCTCTCTCTCTCTCTCTCATGTGTGTATGTGTGAGTGCAAGTGTGTGCGACATTTGTACGTCTTTTGTGTAATTGTACATATTGTATGTTTGATATATGTTGAGGAGAGCATCTAGTAGCCTTCGGGCTGTTTGTAATCCTCGTAAAATAAATAAAGAATTAAATTAAATATACATAATGATAAAATGTTCACGCTTACAATATAATAAAGACAAGATATACAATCAGTTAACATTAACAATACATTGGTTAACGAATCATACTTAAGCTGTTGTCTTAAAAGTCTCCACATAAATGAACAAAAATGATAAACGTTACGGTTTTATAAAGCGACTCTCTACACGAGACATAGATTGAATCATTTCGTCAATCTTTTTTCTTCTCCATAATTTTTTTCAGTTCAGTATTTCTCCATTCTAAGCTAGACACATTTGTAATATATTTGTTTCTTATTTCGTTTGGATTTTTCCACCTGTTCACTTCCTCTATAAAATGTCTTAAAACGTCATTTTTAAATCATTGTTGATAAAGGTGAAAAGCATACACAAAATTAAATAAAGAGTCCATTTTCTCGATAGTTTTCTGTATATCCTCCATTTTAGTGGTTGATTTAACTGTACACATCAAGCAAAGAGTCTTAGTCTGACAATGTCTATTTTCTTTATAAACTTTAGAATGTTTCCACTGTAATGTTGTTTGACATATTCTTCAGAGCGGAAACACTCATTCCAATCTGGTGTTACCCCTTGACGTTAAAATTTTAACGTAAAATGGATGTGTGTTTGGGGGACTTTTGAATTGTATAAACAATTGATTTGCAAATTTCTCCTCGATATGATTTTTCATCGTGAATTATCCAGAAATATCAACGCCTATGTGCTCTTTAAACACGATAAACAAATCAAGCAGTGAATCGTCATAGGATAAAAAAAAGCATTCCAAAGATCTTTTAATATTCTCACTAATTCGATTATGTGTTCGTGTTCTTATTTCATGCCAGTCGTACGACCAACCTCCTTGGTCAGCTTCTCATGATCGTAATGGTGTACCTTGTAATATCTACACAGCAAACGACCACAATGATTACCTTAAAAATCGCGGAAGGCCTACTCCCATGTCACTAAAATGTTCTGACTATGGTATGAATAGACATTGTACCAGACTTAGCCTTAGGCTATATTGTAATCTAGGAGTTTAGACATCTTTAGATTTTTTGTTTGACAAAGGTTACATTCAATAGACTGGATCTATTGATGCTTTAGTGAGGTATAACATATGTTGTTTATTTGTAGTAAAAGCTGAGTAAACACTTTGTACTTATTTTTATTTTAAATCATTGTATAATAAATCCCGTGTACTTAATCCACTATACTTGTGTTTTAAAGTTCAATTTTGAAACATTTTATAATAACTAAATGATAAAAAACTTTTTTGAACTCATTCCCATAATCCACCTCACACTGAGCAAGTCTGTTTATGCTACAGAATTTTGTGTAACTATTTCTTGATTATAAAAGTCTTGTGATTGTTGTTATATAACATTGTTAAGTTTTTAAAAACATAACTTGAGAAAGATTTATATTTGGAATTTATTTAATTTGGTTGGCCTATCTTTATTCCTTACACCAATTTGTTGCTTTTATGTAAATTTCTAGTCGAATCATCAAAAAGTTTGTAAAGTTTTATTTCAAACCATTTTATGTGTATTGATGAAAAAAACTTTAACCATTCCACATCTTGGTTTTTACTTTTCTAAACTACTCGTTTTTGGAAAACATTCAACAGCTACCTCATCCTAAGCAAATCTTTTCGTGTATAGATATATATTGTTCATTATAATTTTTATATTTACTGGTGTGTACTAGTACAACTTGTTAAAGTTGATTTATGAAAGAGTATAAAGTTTGATTGAATACACTGTAAAACTTTGTGAAAATAATACTGTTTGTATCACATTATCCTATACAATTACTATTCGATTTGTTGGTGAAACTTAAATCCAATCATCTTCATTTCATTTCATCAGTGAAATGTGGTATGTGTCTGGAGATCTGAGCTGATTGCTGGTTAGTGTTCACTCTCCACGGTGTGTGTGTGTGTGTGTGTATCATATTGTATGTTGTCTCTGTATTGTTTTGTACATATGTTATAACTGATAAGTCAACCGACTTAAAGTAATAAAGAACTTGAACTTGAACTTGGTTACTAATGGCTAGGTTGTGGATTAAACTTAACATTTTATCATCTATTGATGCTTGAAAAGAGTTGTTTAACCATGTACAATTCTTCTACATTGCTTTTGCAATGTTTGACAAAATACTCAACTTAAAATCATATATATGAAACATTGTTATTGCTTAATCAGAATGATGTGTAATATTTTAATTTTGTTGATTAAATTGGTGAAAATTAATTTATTTTGTTTGCTTATTTCTATCAGAGGTTTCGTTAAATATTTCAGGATCGGAACAGAATTGAGATTTTCAGATTTGAATAATGTATGTTTTCGATGTAATGAAAGAAAGAAACTTGGACCTGTTTAGATTCAAATTATGCTTTAATCAAACAGGTGTAGTATAAGGTTCTATACCTCTACCTAAATCTTGTAATTTGGCTGATTGATTTCAAAACATGATAATGGTTAAGAAAATAATCATTTTGATGGCTTATTTCTAATGTGTGTATATATATATCTGATTTGGTACAATATCTTAGATTCTCACGTTATTAATGCACGTTTTATTTCCGTAAGCTCAGACAATGTCACCCTCACCGTGGACATGTTCGGTCTTGCGTCATCCCTCTACACAAAGGTGTTTTATCTCCACAAATATCATGTGACATTATCCCTCCACACATTCTTTCTTCCTGGACTGTGTACAGAAGGCTACCCTCTACATATGTATAAGGTTATTTTTAAATCTATATCACTCTCACCATGGACATGTTCGATCTTGCATGATCCCCTCCACACATTCTTTACGGTGATGTGTATTGCATAATCGCCTAAAACATTTTACCTCCACATATATTATGTAATATAATCCCTCTACACATTCTTTCCTATTGTGTTGCACATGCATATCTAGGTCAAAGGTATGTTTTACCGGTTCGGCTTCCACACATTCCATGGGTTTTCCCTCCCCTATTGCGTCATACATGTATATCTAGGTCAAAAGGACACCCTCCACACCCCTCCACAAAATGTGTGGAGGCCCAACCGGTAAAATACCACTACTTAACGATATTTCTACAGAGTGGAAATTTAATAGATAAGTTCCATAAGGGATGTACGAGTAGTCACTTCGTGATTTATCATCTTTATTCTAGAAAAAAATCAACGTCATTATGCATTCTTCCTTACCGTACGTGCGTTTGAACGGCAATTGTTACTTGTTTCTTCCATTGCATTTTAGAATGAAAACAACAAATACATATGAAATATTGTAAGACATTTTATAATTCAATATTCTATCGATATCATGGATAAACCCTTCACGTAGTCTTTTCTGTCTAATACTTTTAACAACAACATTGTATTAAAAAACCGGTAAGACATTATTTGTATATCTAGTATATTGTGACATTTTATGTAGGCCTATACCCAAACATTGCACATTAGAAGTTAATAAAATAGTACCTTTTCATAATAATATAGAGGCTGGTTAATAACAAAATTTCGTGCATTTTTTATTGTATTGAATTGTATTAAAATGAATATTTATAGGATTCTTTTGTTGTCTATATTTGTCTGTAGGAGAGTGTATTTTAATACTGGGATGAATGTTTTAAGTTTAAACAGCTTTATAGCTACCTTTTTAGGTTGTTGTGGATAAGAAAGTCGGATGTACCACTCTCCATTTCGTATCATTAAAATAACTCATTTAGTCACATTGGTTTCCAAATGTGATTGCTTGCGTTAGTGGTTAACACAGGACTCGACCATATCGCAGCAAGAAACATAAGCTTACATCTGTAGCTAACAATAGTAATTTCATAAAAAAATGTTTATGTTTACAAGCTGTCATTGTTATTTGCTTTATGTAACTCGCTATAGATATGTGCTGTTCTTGCTTTAATGGCAAGTGTTTCATATAAAATGGTCACTTTTAGAGTCTTTTTGTTTGTTTGGGGATATAAGAAAAGGAAAAGCGAATCGAATGCACGCACTTCTCCGAATAACGTGAAACGAACGCACCTGAATTCCGGAAGTTGAATTGTGCATGCTCCACTTTCGTTTTCAACTAGCTGTTGGAGAAACATGTAACATACGCTGTCATTTTCCAAGTACAAATATAATGCAACTTGGTTGGAACGGCTTGTATAAAACGCTTCGTTTTGGGAAGCATATATTGTTTCGAAATTCCATCAACATTTTCCTGTTATTATCACGACCAAGTTTAGTTCAGCAGCAAGTTTCATTCACCAGTATGGACAGATACGTTACAAGGAAAGTGTTGACAGAAGGAAAAAAGAACGACGAAGAAACGAAAAAAACACACAGTCCTGAGAGAACATCACCTCAGCAGAGAAGATTGTCATCACAGGATTCAAAATGGCACAACAAATGTCAAGCCGATAAAGGTATAATCTCCAATTACAGTTACTGAGTTAGTTGGAAGTCGGGTTGGGAATATCCATTGAAACTGAAACTCCCAACACATCCTCTCAAATCAGAGGAGAAAATTCTCTGAAACCAGACACATTTATATAAAGTAGTGTACAGGTAAATCATTAAGGTTTTTCAGATTCAAAACTATATTTGCTCGATTAAAACTACTGTAACACTAACAGGAGAAAGAGAAACGCAACGGCCAGACCGGTGTTCTACCAAATGAGTAGTCCGAATTATTCTAACGTTTTATCGACTTTTTTATATCGGTCTGTCGTCGATTAACCGATGACAGACCGATATAAAAAAGTCGATAAAACGTCAGGATAATTCGGATTATCAAATGAGGTACCTGGTCACTGACAATCGACCCAGTTCTAGTTCCCCTTAACATTCCTCCCTCCTTTTTCTAAGTCTTTGACAAAGACTTTGTCCCCCCGAAGACAACTATTTACAACCAAAGTTTGGGTATCCCCTTGCTAAAGCACATGCTTGCCACCTTATTGAAATTTTCATGAGGGAGATTCAGCATGCTTAAAATTTAAACCTAAATAAAATGTATGTATATACCCCTTAAAGACACAACCCTTTAAATGACTTATTTTGAGTTGTTCTTTGAGATAAAATAATTAGGTCTTAGAATATAGGAATATTTGAGCAAATTCATTGGTTGAAAATGCTAAATTTAAGGGTCCAAAATTGGAAGTCTCCCTCCTATACAGGAAGAGTCGGCAAGTATGTAAGCATACACACAATGCTTGAAACAAGGATTGGCAAGCTCACCAATTTTGTAACGGGAGAAAGAGAACAGAGAAAAATGACAAGACTGAGGTTTGAACCCTGGACCCTCGGAATTAGACGGACACTCTTACCATCTACCAATTTACCTACCTGGTTGCCGACGATCAATCCAGTCTAGTTCCGCTACACTACAAAGCAGTTTATTGATTCCCATTCCACTGCCAAAAACTAACTACACATTGGACTGAAGCTTTGGTAAATTATTTCTGAAAAGTAAAACTATACCATTCAGGAGTTTTATGAGGACAATAGAGATGAAATACACAAAAGAAAATCAACAGCAGTGTTTTGAGTTTAAAACATCAGTGGGGCTAGGCTGGAATTCAAACTCCAGACCTCAGACTGTTTAGAGTGTTGCTGTTACAAACTGAGCTATCTGTTCAGTGGCAGTGTACTGGCCCAATGTGCTAAACAAAATGAAGGGGAGGTAATTACTGCATATAAAAAAACTACAGTGGAACAGGGATCTGTAAGGGTAAACTACAATGAGAAACACATACATATAGTTGTAAACAATATCATGTTTTCTAGTAAACATATTATAACATTAGAAAGTGAAATATTTACTATCTTACCCTTGTACTAAGTAGGATATAACTTTTAAGCTACATTTGCAAACAAATTTAAAAAAATAGGGTATGTAGTATATTTGCAATTAATAAACAATAAACCACACAATGTTATCCAATAGTCAGCCAAAAAAAGTCATGCACATGTTGATGAACATATATTTATAATGTACCCACCTGACCTTTTTTATCCAATGATGTACATGTCTCCTTCCTGTGTATGAATGATAGAATGTTTCAGGTGAAGAAAGGAGTGTAGGGAATTTCTATACTAAATATAACCTAGCTATTAACTCTTTTTATGCACTACATACACAGTTACTGTAAAGAAATTTCTTGATAATGAAACATTTGGTCTTGTGTTTCTTTATTTGTCTACTCTTAAACTTAAAAAATACCTCATTGGCATTAATTTCCTAATAACTATGCAAATTGTTAGAAATGGTGATCATTTCCCATTAGTGCTGGTGAATATAGATAGTTAGAAATGGTGATCATTTCCCATTAGTGCTGGTGAATATAAATAGTTAGAAATGGTGATCATTTCCCATTAGTGCTGGTGAATATAGATAGTTAGAAAAAACTACGGAGAGAACAGGTATGATGAAACTACTTCATATAACCATTGTTATATGAATATATATATATATATCCTTGTTTATTTTTTTTTACCTTTCTCAAAGTAAGATTGTATAATTTTAATTTTTTATTAACATTTCAGAGAAATATTTGAATATGCTGATAGCTGACAAAAGAAAAGTTTACAAATGCAAGAAGTTCTTCCAACTGACAGATATTCCTACATGGGAAGAATTTTTCTTAGCAAACGAAGAAAAGTTGCGTAGAAAATGTAAGTATTTGTTCATGAGAAAATTACATTTCGCCTTTGAATAAAAACTAGCACGCATTAATGTTTTGGACATACTCAATTAGACTCCGTCATTTTTCAGAGCACCAAGTCACATATCAGGTCAATAAGGAGGTAAATTACATACCAAATCCACAAAGTATTAAGTGTACTTGACTACAGTTGTCTTGTACATGTTGGTGAACAGAAATCTTTGCTGAAATAATCAAATTCAATTTTACAGTTGATTGTTTTTTTTTGTGAATTTCACTCTTGAAAAATACATTTTAAATAGTCCAAAATAAGATGAAAACAATAATGAATAACTTTAAAGTGAATAGTACATTTTGTTTTACCATTTTTTATCAGTGAGAGGCAAAAAGCTGACTGTAAAGGCGGAAGTGAATGAATTTTTCAACAAGAAGCTAACACTCTGGAGAGGGGACATAACTGCATTAGAGATAGACAGCATTGTCAATGCAGCTAACAATTCTCTGTTAGGAGGAGGCGGTGGTAGGTGTTTTAGACCTCAAAGAATCAGAATCAAAACACTTCTGTACTGTGATTGAATGAATTTAAAAGCAACATGAGTAATACCAATATAGCTGAGGGAATGTTTTGTGGATAAAACATATATTCAATGGCTTTCATTCTGTTTGTTTCAGTGGATGGGGCTATCCACAATGCTGCAGGGAGTTGCTTGGTTTCTGAATGTAGAACACTGGGAGGCTGTGACACAGGAGACGCCAAACTTACAGGAGGTAAGAATCATCTGTGTATTAAATCTAGATGTAGGTGTCACAGGTGTACATACAACTTGGGTTAGTATCTGTGTACTAAATCTAGATGTAGGTGTCACAGGTATACATACAACTTGGGTTAGTATCTGTGTACTAAATCTAGATGTAGGTGTCACAGGTGTACACACAACTTGGGTTAGTATCTGTGTACCAAATCTAGATGTAGGTGTCACAGGTTGTATGTACAACTGGGGTTAGTATCTGTGTACTAAATCTAGATGTAGG